GAAAGCGCCCCCTGCTGGCCCATTTCGTACATAGCATCATTCATATACATACAGTACAACCATCAAAAGTCGGGAGCGGGAGAAGATAACAGGAGGGTGTCATACTCCCTCTAGTGGGCAAAAGGTAGCACTGCGACATCGAGAAATGGCCAGAAATAACCCTATCACGTCCACGTAAAGGTAAAGGGACCCCTGACCATTAGGTCCAGTCGTGGCTGACTCTGGGGTTGCGGCCCTCATCTCGCTTTATTGGCCGAGGGAGCAGACGTACAGCTTCCGGGTCATGTGGCCAGCAGGACTAAGCCGCTTCTGGCGAACCAGAGCAGCGCACTGAAATGCCGTTTACCTTCCCGCTGGAGCGGTACCTATTTATCTACTTGCACTTTGACGTGCTTTTGAACTGCTAGGTGGGCAGGAGCAGGGACCGAGCAACGGGAGCTCACCCCGTCACAGGGATTCAAACCGCCGACCTTCTGATCGGCAAGTCCTAGGCTCTGTGGTTTAACCCACAGCGCCACCCGCGTCCAATATTTTTAATTATAGGGAGGAGGAGGAGAATTCATAGACTGCCTTCTGTATCCAGGGCAGCTGTCTCCTAGCTCCATGTGCTACGCAGGCTGAGACCCTACCTGCCCGCAGACTGTCTTGCCAGAGTGGTGCATGCTTTAGTTATCTACCGCTTGTACTACTGCAATGCGCTCTACGTGGGGCTACCATTGAAAGTGACCTGGAAACTACAATTAATCCAGAATGCGGCAGCTAGACTGGGGACTGGGAGCGGCCGCCGGGACCATATAACACCAATCCTGAAAGATCTACATTGGCTCCCAGTAGGTTTCCGAGCACAATTCAAAGCGTTGGTGTTAACCTTTAAAGCCCTAAACGGCCTCAAAGGCCCAGTATACCTGAAGGAGCGTCTCCACCCCCAGGTTTCAGCCCGGACACCGGGGTCCATCTCCTGAGGGCCTTCTGGCGGTTCCCTCACTGCGAGAAGCAAAGCTACAGGGAACCAGGCAGAGGGCCTTCTCAGTGGTGGCGCCTGCCCTGTGGAACGCCCTCCCACCAGATGTCAAAGAGATAAACAACTACCTGACATTTAGAAGACATCTGAAGGCAGCCCTGTTTAGGGAAGTTTTAAATGTGTGACATTTTAATGTATTTTTAATCTTTGTTGGAAGCCGCCCAGAGCGGCTGGGGAAACCCAGCCAGATGGGCGGGGTACAAATAATAAATTACTATTACTATTACTAAGCACTTTCTCATACAGTCCTGCAGACTCCCTGTGCAATTACCCCCATACCACTGACGGGCCAACTGAGCCCAAGGGAATAGCGGCTGGCCCAAGGCCACTGGGTGAGTTTTTCATGGAAGGGAACCTGAGGGTCATCTAGTCCAACCCTCTGCAGTGCAAGAATCTCTGCTGCTTTTCCCCCCAATTGTGGATATGGTGAGCTTTGAACTGGGGTCTTCACAGCTCGCTGCTCATAATCTGTGCCATAGGTGTGAAATGTAGGCTCTGCCCATGGACCCTGAAGTCTCCGCTGGGGGTGCAAACTTGAATAACACACCGGGGGGGGGGGGGAGTCCCATTCCACATGATGGATTAGAATGGCAATGTCCACCAACTTTCTGGAGGCTCAACCCCACAAATATTTAATTGGGGGCCCCTAGGGGACCTCAGCCACTAGGAGCTGGCTCCTATGGTCCCCACTATCAGTCAACGCCTTTTAGTCACCCTGCCTTCTTTATTATTATTATTATTAGCCCATTTATTATTATTATTATTATTAGCCCATGTATTATTATTATTCCCATTTATTATTATTATTATTATTATTATTATTATTATTCTGTTGTTGTTTTAAGCCCATTTATTATTATTATTCCCATGTTGTTGTTGTTGTTGCTATTTTAAGCCCATTTATTATTATTATTATTATTAAGCCCATTTATTATTGTTGTTGTTATGCTCATGTTGTTTTGTTGTTGTTATTATTATTTTAAGCCCATTTATTATTATTATTATTAAAACCATTTATTTTAAACAGACATTTGAATCCTGTGTCGAAGTAGGTCAGTGCTTGAATCGTAGAATTGCAGGCTTGGAAGGGGTCTGACCCACTTCGATGCAGGATTCAAATGCCTGTTTTCTTGTTGTTGTTGTTATTTTAAGCCTTTGAACCCAATTAGGGTTTAAAAAGGGGTCGGGGAGAGACAGAAGGGGAGTTCTCTTGCAGAAGGACGCTGGCCGGTGCTTCTAGGAGGCAGGCCTGACGGATCCCAAAGAGGAAAATAACAACACAGACCAGAGGCAGAGGCAAAGGAACGAAAGGTAAAGAATAAAGGATATTGGCTGGATGGTTAAAGAAGAAGTCAGACTCCTGCAGCAATCAGATGGGAAGTCTGAGAAGCCTTCTGGCGGAGTGTCAAAAAACTGGGCAACTTTGGGATTCCAGGAGTATCCTGTTATAGGAATAGTCTTCCTGGTGATGGACACTGACCTGAATTTGCCGTATTTTTCGCTCTATAAGACGCACCAGACCACAAGACGCACCTAGTTTTTGGAGGAGGAAAACAAGAAAAAATATATTCTGAATCTCAGAAGCCAGAACAGCAAGAGGGATCGCTGCGCAGTGAAAGCAGCAATCCCTCTTGCTGTTCTGGCTTCTGGGATAGCTGCACAGCCTGCATTCGCTCCATAAGACGCACACACACTTCCCCTTACTCTTTGGAGGGGAAAAGTGAGTCTTATAGAGCAATAAATACGGTATATGTCACGGGTCACCTCCATGACCCAGTGCCAGAATTATGTATTAGCTAAACAAGCTATAGCTTAGGGCCCCACTCTCTTGGGGGCCCCTGAAAAATTAAAGGGATAAAAATCTGGATGTACATTTCCAAAATATAGGATTAAAAAAACACAAAATAAAATAAAAGCTACATACAGCAAGTGTTTTGTATTGTGTAGGCTCCTATGATGTAAGTCATGGGCCCCCGCCTGCTAGCCTGCTCCCTAAAATATCACGTTTGCTCATTTCTGTATATAGGGTGCCTACATTCTGCATGGACTGGTTGCAGGGCAACATGTGCAAATGGCTTTAGATATCTATTAGGTTCTTGGGAGAAAAGCAATGAGAAACCTAGACAGCATCCTAAAAAGCAGAGACATCACCTTGCCGACCAAGGTCCGTATAGTTAAAGCTATGGTTTTCCCAGTAGTGATGTATGGAAGTGAGAGCTGGACCATAAAGAAGGCTGATCACCGAAGAATTGATGCTTTTGAATTATGGTGCTGGAGGAGACTCTTGAGAGTCCCATGGACTGCAAGAAGATCGAACCGATCCATTCTGAAGGAAATCAGCCCTGAGTGCTCACTGGAAGGACAGATCCTGAAGCTGAGGCTCCAATACTTTGGCCACCTCATGAGAAGAGAAGACTCCCTGGAAAAGACCCTGATGCTGGGAAAGATGGAGGGCACAAGGAGAAGGGGACGACAGAGGACGAGATGGTTGGACAGTGTTCTCGAAGCTACCAGCATGAGTTTGACCAAACTGCGGGAGGCAGTGGAAGACAGGAGTGCCTGGCATGCTCTGGTCCAGGGGGTCACGAAGAGTCAGACACGACTAAACGACTAAACAACAACAACAACAGGTTCCTATAATGTAAGTCATGGGCCCCGCCTGCTAGCCTGCTTCCTAAAATATCACGGGTTTGCACCTTTCTATATATAGGGTGCCTACATTCTACATGGACTGCTTGCAGGGCAACATGCGCAAATGGCTTTAGATAACTATTAGGTTCTTGGGAGAAAAGCAATGAGAAACCTAGACAGCATCCTAAAAAGCAGAGACATCACCTTGCCAACAAAGGTCCGTATAGTTAAAGCTATAGTTTTCCCAGTAGTGATGTATGGAAGTGAGAGCTGGACCATCAAGAAGGCTGATCACCGAAGAATGGATGCTTTTGAATTCTGGTGAGGGAGGAGACTCTTGAGAGTCCCATGGACTGCAAGAAGACCGAACCTCTCCATTCTGAAGGAAATCAGCCCTGAGTGCTCACTGGAAGGACAGATCCTGAAGCTGAGGCTCCAAGACTTTGGCCACCTCATGAGAAGAGAAGACTCCCTGGAAAAGACCCTGATGTTGGGAAAGATGGAGGGCACAAGGAGAAGGGGACGACAGAGGACGAGATGGTGGGACAGTGTTCTCGAAGCTACCAGCATGAGTCTGACCAAACTGCGGGAGGCAGTGGAAGACAGGAGTGCCTGGCGTGCTCTGGTCCAGGGGGTCACAAAGAGTCGGACGCGACTAAATGACAACATTCCTAAGTTTGTCCTGCCCTGTTTCTACACCATACTGCAACTGTTATTGAAATGCGTGAAAATTCATATTTCTGTAGGCATTTTGCTCCAAAACATTCATTTTGGTACGCATTTCCCCTCAGAATATGCATTTTGGGACTTTTTTTTTTTTTTTTTTTGAGCCGTTAAAGGTGCTGACGTTTAGAGACCATTTTTTAGAAAAAAGGACTGTGTGTATATATATATATATGTGTGTGTGTGTGTGTGTGTGTGTGTGTGTGTATGGGGGATGCGATTGCTGTATATGTATATTAATAGCTGTCAACTTTTCCCTTTTTTTAAGGGAAATTCCCTTATTCTGAATAGGATTCCTCGCAAGAAAAGGGAAAAGTTGACAGCTAGGAATATACATATACAGCAATCGCATCCCCCATACATACATACACACACACACACACACACACACATATATATATATATATATACACACACACACACACACACACACACACACACACACACACAGAGTGCTTTTTTTCTTTAAAAATATGCTTAGGGGTTCTCTTATTTTGACTCCAGAAAATAACCATTTTATAGTTCAAATCGGGGAAAATAAATACAGTATATGTGGACAAAACTACAAGGATTCCCAAAATGTTTAGGGGTATGCGTCCCCCCAGAAATATGGGCAGGGGATGCAATGGCTTCTGATTTCCCAGAAGCCTTTGGGGCGCTCCTGCTCCCCGCTCTGCCAGGCCCTGCGAGGAGAGCGGGCGACAGGCTTCGGTTGCCCGGGGCAACCATCCAGGCCGCCCCTTGGCCTGCTGGGAGTGCGGCGAAGCCAGGCGCATGCCCGGTAGCAGCAGGAGGAGGAGGAGGAGGAGGAGGAGGAACTGGGAGGGAGGAGCGGGGGAGGCATTTCAATGCAGCAAGGCAGCAGCTGAGCGGGAGCGGAGACCCCCTTCAGGAGGAGCCCTCCCCAGACACCCCCTTCCCAGCTGGGGAGGCTTGGGGGGGGGCCCTGTGGCAGAGGGGCACCCCTGCGAAAAGCAGAGGTGCTGGGCAGCCAGCGTGGCGCTGGGGCACCCACCCACCCAAAACTTGCAAGGTGCCAGCCCAGTGCATTTGCTGGGCGATGCCAATCATCTCTCTCTCTCCTTCTCTGACAGGACCAGCACCCGCCTTTGCTAGGGTGCCCATGCAGCGGTGCCAACTGGGCACCGGCAGCCCGAGAGAACCGCTTCCCAGAGCTTGAAAGGAGCCCGGCAGTGGGCACCGGGGAACGGCGTTGGCATCAGCAGCAGCAGAAGGGCACCGGGATGTCTGGTGACAGCGAGGAGATCACCCGCCTCCGCAAGCCCCGCTTCTCCTACGAGGAGAACCAAATCCTGATCCAGGAGGTCCGTGCCAACTACGCCAAGCTGTACGGCACCCAGAGCCGGCGGGTGACGGTGGCTGAGCGGCGGAGGGTGTGGGAGGGCATCGCCGCCAAGATCAACAGCATCACCAGCTGGAAGCGGACCGGGCAGGAGGTGCAAAAGCGCTGGAATGACTTCAAGCGCCGCACCAAGGAAAAGCTGGCGAGGGTGCCCCACTCCACGCAGGGGGCCGGCAGCGCCTGCGACGAGACCTTCTCGGCCGAGGAAGAGACCATCTTCGCCATCCTGGGGCCCAGCGTGGTGATGGGGGCGGGCGGGGTGGAACCCGGCGCCTTGCAGAACACGCCGGGGTTCGCCACCACCCCCAGTTACCGGCTGGCGGCTGAGCATGGCGCAGGTGAGTCCCCGCGGGCACCCCATCCCTCCGGCGGGCAGGTGCTGGCAGTCGAAGCAGGTGCCCTCCGGGGCCCGGCTCTGCCAAGGCGTTAGGAAGGACAGATTGGCAGAATGTAAGGGCCCGAGGCTTGCCACATGTGGGTTGACACGCTGACAGCATGGGGTAAAAAATTGAAAACTCCACATGCCGCCGCCAGGAGCTGATTTCTAAACCGACTAGGTGCTGGAGGACCAAGAAGGGCTTGGTTTGAGGCACAGTGTGTGCCTCTGAGCATGTGCAGAGTGCCTTACCCTCGGATAGCGGCAAGCAGATTGTTATGTATTCAGTGGTCTGTGTTTGCCTGAGCTTGAGTCTGGACTAAGGATTTCACCTACATTTCACAGATGCCCCCATGTGTCTAGGGGTGTGTGAAGTGATGGGGGGGACGATTTCAGATTGGGTGTGGGAAAGGGTGTCAGTTCGCTTTGATTTGCAGCACTTCTGGTTTTTAAGAAAGAGGCACGCGACAGGCCAATGCCTTTGCCATTGGGGTTGGGCAGGGTAGCACAAGAAAGAGAGGAGAAGCTCACGGCCCTATCTCTTATCACTCACAGAGCTAAAATTCCCAGCGCCTTTATAACAAACTACAATTCCCAGGATTCTTGGTGTACAGGGGCGAGCTATGGGTTTAAAATGCATGCTGTGCCGGTGCCAATCTAACCTCGCAAGTTCCAAATGCGACTCCAAATGGCGAAGGAAAGGCACTCTGCACATGCTCAGAAACCTAATTGCTCCGAGAATGGAGCGACAGGCATCCAACAGGGATTTGGGCCTCGAAGGGATGCTATTTTAATCTCCGCATCACCACCTACGCCTTGGATTCCACAGCCGAAGCTCAAATAAATGGCAGGGAGCTATATTGGCACGATAAGCGCACAGAACAGGGGAAGCAGGATGGCAAGCAGATATGACTCTGCTTCGTGAGGGAGGCAGTCCTGCGCTCGACGCCCCCCAGACCTGAAATATCCTTTCAAGTCTCCCCCACATCCGTAGGGCCAGGGATACAACTGAGACACAGAATAACAGAATTGTCGCGTTGTAAGGAAGCACGAGGGTCATCTAGTCCAACCCGCTGCAATGCAGGAATCTTTTTCTCGAACCCATGACCCTAAGAGACATTCTTTTGTCTTTTCTACTTTGGGAAATTCCTGCTCCAGGTTTGAAGGAGAGAGGAAAGTGGGGCGGGGGAAGAGAAAAAGGGGTTTCCCCACAATGCACTATTTTAGCTCCACATCCATGATGGAGGAATTCCCTGGCGCTTCCTGGCTTCGTCCGGCGTGCCAGAGGTTTATCTCTGCAACCTTCTTCCAACGCTGGGAATCAGTTTGGGCATATGCGAGCCAATGTCCAGGAAACAGGTGTCTCTGTGCATGTGCAGAGCGCATTTTCCTCAGCCCCGGGTCACCATCTTGGCCTCCAATCTCGCAAAGTGCTTTCAGGTCAGGAGAGGCAAACAGCAGGACGAAGCTGGGTTAATGCTGTGATCCACGCTTGGCTCCCGGCTGCCATGACTCCTTTCGACACAGGGCACAAGTGCCGAGAGAAAACGCCCGTGCCCACTCTCAGGTGGGCTAGTGGCCAGTTGCGGCTGCCAACTCCATGCCTACACAACTCATTCACCGGTTGTAACCTTGAGGCTGCCAAGGAAGGTGTGGAGGCAGGAGAGAAAGAAGAGTCGACTGCAACACAGCGGCAGAACTAGCCCCCAGCACAGCCCTACAGGGGCTAGGCAGCTTTCTGGGTTCCTGAATGCTCCGCCATGTGGAAGGGATCTTGCACCCGGAAAGCTAGCCTGTGGGGTAAAGGGGCTTTAGCCCTGCCTTTCCCCTAAGGAGCTAGATTCTGCAGGCAGAGATGTCTTTCAGAACGCAGAGTTAGAATTCAGGTCTGTGCCCAAAGAGGTAAGGACCGCAAAGGGCTGCTGGCCACATGCTCTCTCTCCCACGCAGAAAGGGCTGGCCGGAGCGAAACAGCAGCTTGGTGATGGGGGACTAGCAGGCCCCAAGAACTGTGTTTGAAATTCCCCAGGCACGTTTTGCTACTGCCGCGGGTCTAATGACAACCACGTGGCAGTTTCTGGTCGCTAGAGTGGTGGCCACCATTTAAAAACCTCTGCCTTGCTCCCTAGTGAATACCTTCCCCTTCCTGTCTCTCCCCTCGCATACTGGGACGTGTGAATTGTCACAAGAGCAAGCCACAGTCAAGCAAGGTAGTTGAGATAGTAGAATTGTAGAACTGTAAGGGACACGGGTGGCGCTGTGGGTTAAACCACAGAGCCTAGGACTTGCCGATCAGAAGGTTAGCGGTTCGAATCCCCGCGACGGGGTGAGCTCCTGTTGCTCGGTCCCTGCTCCTGCCAACCTGGCAGTTTGAAAGCACGTCAAAGTGCAAGTAGATAAATAGGTACCGCTCCGGCAGGAAGGTAAACGCGTTTCCATGCGCTGCTCTGGTTCGCCAGAAGCGGCTTAGTCATGCTGGCCACATGACCCGGAAGCTGTACGCCGGCTCCCTCGGCCAATAAAGTGAGATGAGCACTGCAACCCCAGAGTCGGTCACGACTGGACCTATTGATCAGGGGTCCCTTTACCTTTACCTTTAAGGGGCCCAAGGGTCATCCAGTCTGACCCACTGGTAAACTGACGTCGTGGCGACCGCAACCTAGAGTTCAGGGACCACGTAGTGCCTAGATTATATAGCTGAGTTTCTAACACTGCCTAGGAAAAGGAGTTTCCTCTGGTTATCTCCTGCTTGGACTACTGCAATGTGCTCTATGTGGAGCTACCTTTGGAGGAAACTGCAATCAATCCAGAATGTTGCAGCTAGACTGGTGACTGGGAGTGGCCACTGAGACCATATAACACTGGTCTTGAAAGACCTACACTGGCTCCCAGTACGTTTCCGAGCACAATTCAAAGTGTTGGTGCTGACATTTAAAGCCCTAAACGGCCTCGGTCCTAAGTACCTGAAGGAGCGTCTCCACCTCCATCGTTCTGCCTGGACACTGAGGTCCAGCGCCGAGGGCCTTCTGGCGGTTCCCTCATTACGAGAAGTGAGGTTACAGGGAACCAGGCAGAGGGCCTTCTCAGTAGTGGCACCCGCCCTGTGGAACACCCTCCCACCAGAGAAAAATACCGTATTTTTTGCTCTATAAGACTCACTTTTTCCCTCCTAAAAAGTAGGGGGAAATGTGAGTGTGTCTAATGGAGCGAATGCAAACTGCGCAGCTATCCCAGAAGCCAGAACAGCAAGAGGGATTGCTGCTTTCACTGCGCAGCGATCCCTCTTGCTGTTTTGGCTTCTGAGATTCAGAATATTTTCATGTTTTCCTCCTCCAAAAACTAGGTGTGTCTTGTGGTCTGGTGCATCTTATAGAGCGAAAAATACGGTAACTACCAAACGTTTAGAAGACATCTAAAGGCAGCCCTGTTTAGGGAAGCTTTTAATGTTTAATAGGTTATTGTATTTTAGTGTTTTGTTGGAAGCCGCCCAGAGTGGCTGGGGAAACCCAGCCAGATGGGCGGGGTATAAATAATAAATAATTATTATTATTATTCCGGGTGCCAGCCTTGTCAATCTCCTGCTTCCCTCCGCCTCTGCAGACATGCCAGCCAGGGGCAACCTCTCCTGCAGCCCAGAGACTTCTGCGCGGACTTCCTGCTGCACCCTGAACGGGGGTCTACTGAGGCCCAAGGAACGCGACTCGCCGGCGCCCCCTTCGGCCCAGCCCGCCTCACTGCAGATCATCCAGATGGCGCCTTCTCCGGCCAGCTTAGGCTGCAGGCCGCACCCAGAGCACTCCCCTGCGGAGCCGCTGGGCAGCACCCCGTGCCCCTCTGCCTCGCCACCCCTGCGGCGCCGACGCACCCGCCTCGACCTGCCCGCCGAGCCCCCTGTGGACTTCTTGCAGGCCCAGCGGGAGACGGCCGAGGCCGTCCGCGAGCTGACCTACACGCTGCGGCAAGGCCTGGAGCGGCTGACCGACGTGGTGGCGGCTTTGCTGCCCCTCCTTCCTGCCCAGGCGAATGGCCTGCTGCCCCCGCAGGGGGTGAGCCCGAGCCCCGGGCCGCCGGCCCCTTCCTCGGAGACCCCGCCGCCCAGGGCCACCGTCGCCACCAAGGAGGAGCCGTCCCCGGAGAGGAGAGAGGACGAGGGGGGTCCTGTGCCCGAAGAAGGCCAGCCAGTGGCCAGAAGCGGGCCGTCCCCTGCACCCCAGAAGCGGAGGAAAGGGATCCCCACGCGGAAACGCAGGGGGCGCTGGAAGAACTTGTGAGCGCTGCCAAGGACCTGGTTCTGACTCTGCCCCCTATTGGGGGGGAGGGGAGAAACACATGGGGCAGATGCCCAGTGAGAAGAACGCCTTCTCTCGACGCTCTGCCCCAAAGGTTATTCGTTCCTTTGCAAAACACAGTCCAGACTCACCCCCGGACCCTGTGGTGTTGGTTGCAAGGGATCTCCACCACCCCCACCCCCAGGCCATGCCGGGTAGCCTGTCAGTGCTCAAGAAACACCCCTCGCCACCCGGTTTTTGCAGCCCCACATGAGGCAGTGGGGCCAGGAGTGTTTGCCAAAGTCCTCGCAAGCGGCAACGCACAGCTGCGGGGTTGTGCATTTTTTTGCGGGTGCCTGAAACCCAGGGTGGAAAACCAGCCAGAAAAAGGGAAATCGGACAGACCACCACCACCCAAAAAAACACCCCTCTGCCAGCTCCCAAGCTTTGCCAGTGTCTCCCTCCGCCCCGCCCCCCAACCCTGTCCCAATTGCTTTTTGCATTAAGACACTCTTGGAAGGGGGAATACAGGGTGGGGAGGGTTTTGCCGCCTCCCTGTCCCACAAAGACCAACTTCCCTCCTTCCCCATGTCTTTCCGAAGCCCTTTCCCAGCGCCTGAAAAGCCAAAAGCCTCCTCGACTGAAAAGCCCCAATGTGGAGGGGCAGGGGCAAGGTTGCCCAAAAGCAGCTCTCGGCCATTCCGGCATAAGTTGAAGCCATTCCGGCCATTCCCTTTGCTCTGCCCCGTCCCCTACGGAAGCTCAATAAACTATTTTCGTACTACAGCTCCCTTGTGTTCGTGAAATGGTGACGGTGTGTGGGGGTGTGTGGAGATGAGTTCTGGGGCAGAGCTTTATGCAAGGAAAAGGGGACTTCAGTCTCACCAATTTAATTGAAATTGAAATACTTTATTGTCACTTGTACAACTTGTATACAGTGAGATTACACGGGCACCCCCCACTCAGCTCTCTTAGTCTTAATTCCCCTCGTTTACTGACGCACACCCACCAAACCCAAAAGTCAGTTGCCCTGTTGTTATCTTTTCATCCAGCAGCCTAACAGCCCACGGATAGAACCTGTTCTTTACCCTGTTGGTGCGACTAATCATGTTTCTGTATCTTCTGCCCGAGGGCAGGAGATCAAGAAAGTGCCGGCCAGGGTGTGAATTTTCCTCACTCTCCTGAGGCAACGTTCTTCCGCTATTTCATCCAGCGGATTCACGGGACAGCCCATAATATCATGTGCTGTATTCACCACCCTCTGTAGCCACTTCCTATCAGCTGATGTCAAACCAGCGTACCACACCGTGATGCAGTATGAAAGGACACTTTCTGTTGTGGACCAGTAGAAGGAGATCATCAAATGTTGATTGACCTCGTTCTTCCGTAATACTCTGAGGAGATGGAGTCTCTGTTGGGCTTTCTTAACCACCTGGGTTGCATTGATTTTCCAAGTAAGGTCTTCACTGAGATAAACTCCTAGGAATTTAAAGGAAGAGACTCTCTCCACACAGCCCTCCCCGATGTACAGCGGGGCTAGTTCTCCTCTCTTCCTCCGAATGTCCAACACCATCTCCTTTGTCTTGCTGATATTAAGGTGCAAGTTGTTCCCTAGGCACCGTGTAGATATTGAGGGGACAAAATAGCGACCTTAATATTTTAGAAAGCACTTGCGCCACAGACACAACTTCAAAGGATATTATGCTGTTCTCTTCACGCTGTGGATGTCGGGTCCTTCGGTCATAATCATCCCAGGGGTGGGAGAACTACTACATCACAACCCAAAAGCAGACCCTGGGGCTCTCCCCAGGCTGAGCACCCTCCCACCACCACCCCAGCCACATAGATTTGGAAAGGGGCCCTAAGATTCATCTTTTTTTTTTTTTTAAATAATATTTATTAAAGTTTCAAAAGAAGAAAAATCACATTAATAAAATGATTAACAATAAAGGAAAAATACAAAGTAGAAAAAAGAAAAAATAGTTAAAAACAATTCCATCTTTTCATCACTTCTTTTACGTTTACTTGTTTCCCGGACCTCCTCATACCTCCCTCTTTGTATTTAATTCAATTTGTTAATCCTTAATTCCTTTCCTCCTTTTTAATCCTAATCTTTAATCTTGATATATTATAACATTAAATTTTACATATTAAAACCAATTTTTCCATATTCTTTTGTACCTTTTAGCTAGAAACCCTTGCACTTCAATCAACATCAGTCTAACATTCATTAATTTTACAATATTTTGTAAATAGTCTTTAAATTTCTTCCAATCTTCTTCCACCGACTCTTCTCCTGGTCACAGATTCTGCCAGTCATTTCCGTAATTCCCATATAGTCCATCAATTTCATCTGCCATTCCTCAAATCTGGTCAGTCTTGTGTCTTCCAATGCTTTGCAATAGTATTCTTGCTGCTGTTATGCGCCATAAAAAGTTCTGTCCTTTTTTAACACCGATTGGCCGATATACCCAGGAAAACCTCTGTAGTTTCCTTCAAGAGGTATATTTAAATACCTTTTTAGTTCATTATATCATCTCCCAGAAAGCCTTAATCCTTGGGCATGTCCATAAAGGTGAAAAATGTACCTTCAAGATTCTTTACATTTCAACATTTATTATGGGCATGAGATTTTTGCAAGCTTGACTGGGGTTATGTCACCACCTGTATATCATTTTCATAATATTTTCTCTTAAGGCATTACATGCCGTAAATTTCATACCTGTGGTCCACAACTGTTCCCAGTCAGCAAACATAATATTATGTCCAACGTCTTGTGCCCATTTAATCACCTTAGATTTCACGTTTCATCCTGGTATTCCATTTCAACAGCAAATTGCCATCTTTGAACTAAAATCTGATTTGGGTTCTAATTCTGTTTCTAATTTTGATTTTTCCACCTGAGCTTGATTTTCTTGTCCAAATTGTATGCCTCATTATCTGATAATAATGAAGCCAGTCTCGCACTTGTTTTTAGTTTTCCAAAGCTCTGCAATTACAATCTATCTCCATCTTGTTCCAAAATTTCCCAATATTTAAAGCCATTGACCTCCATATTGAGCTTTTCCCAGGGCTTTCGCTTCCATCAGTGACAACCACCTTGAGATTTATTTTCAATAAATCCTTATATCTTATCAAACATTAACAACTCTAATATGGTTTTAAATGCTTTATGTGCTTTGACCTTATCGTACCACAGATATGCATGCCATCCAAATACATTGTTAAAACCTTCTAAAAGATTCATCTAGTCCACCCCCCTGCAATGCAGGAATCCTTTGCACACCATGGGGGTTTGAACCCATGACTGAGAATAATAATAATAATAATAATAATAATAATAATAATAATAATAAATTTTTATTTATACCCTGCCTGCCCAGTTCAAAAACCGGGCTCAGGGCGGCAAATTTAAAACACTTAATTATAAAAGCAGCATAAAATACAGTATAAAAACATGAATAACAATAAAATTCAAAAATCAATTTAGGGGAAATAAGCGTTAGATAATCCCCAGGGCTAGCTGGCTTAATTGGTCCTACTTGGGCCAGCGAGGAGGCCAGGGGAGAATTAGCTGTGGGGTCTCAGAGAGGGAAATCTTCATAAAAGGAGAGGGGTAGGGAAGAGAAGGGAAATAAAAGATCAGGCTGAATTCAAATTAAAGGCCAGGCGGAATAGCTCTGTCTTACAGGCCCTGCAGAAGGAAGTTAAATCCTGAAGGGCTCTAGTCTCGTGGGACAGAGCATTCCACCAGATCGGAGCCATCACTGAAAAGGCCCTGGCCCTGGTGGAGAATAGTCTGACTTCCTTAGGGCCCAGGACCTCTAAACTATGGTTGTACATGGACCTTAAGTGTGTGTGCTCTACCAATTGATATTATTATTATTATTATTATTATTATTATTATTATTATTATTACCACCATCATCAAAATCTATAATCCGCCCTTCATAGATCTCAGGGCCGTTCACAACGTCAGACTAGGCCTGCCCCAAAGACCTTCTGGAGTGTTTTGGCCTCTATTGGAAACAGTCTTTGAGCTCTCGGTCTCACTAAACAGATGTTGGGACAGATGTGGGAGAGTAGAAACCTCTGGTTTTAGACTGGCCGAGATGCAGACCCTCCCAACTTTTTCACATAAAAAACCCAGACATGCATCTGCTGGGACGGGCTCCCAGGCAACTCACATGACCTGCACTGCGATCTCGCCCTGAAAACGCTTTTTTCACATGGGGGAAAATCCCACATGCAATTTCACATGGGGGAAAACAGGATGTCCTATTTCTTCCAGGACACTTAGCAGGTATGGGAGATGAGGTTTACCGGACGAAGTCACAGAGCCACCCTGGTTGCTCCTCCAGAGAATCCTGGGAACTGTAGTTTATTAAGGGGGGCAGGAGCTGTGGCTGGGTGGGGTGGAACTACAGCTCCCAGAATTCTTTGGGTGAAACCAGGTGCTTTAAACGGACGACGCGGACGTGGCACAATTCTGGTCTGTCAAATGCACGTTCAGCTTTCCATCCACTGACCCGTGTGACTTTTTCTCTTCCTTTTATTGGCCAGGTTTTAAGTATAATGCACACTGGTTTGGCGCTGGTGTGGAAATCTGCAGGCTTCTGAGTTACACAGAACTCTTCACTCGACCGGCAGAGAGATGCCGGGTGGTCAAAAACATGATTCTCGTTCCTTAGCCTCCACATCTGTTAGACTGGCTGTCCATTTACAAAGACAGTCACTGCCGTTCACTGGAAACCCTCTCCCCACGGCAGGCACGTAGACAACTTGCATGTGTGTTTGTGTGAACACCTTTCCTCTAGATATTGATACTAAAGCGCAGTAACAGGCAATCTGAGTCCATTTTGCTTCCTGTCCCACTCCCTCACACCCCAAAAAATATCTGAAGCTTACAGGGTAACACAGAAAGTCACATAACAAGGCCATGTTGTCAGCTCCTTTCTCTAGGATTGTTGTTGTTGTTTAGTCGTTTAGTCGTGTCCGACTCTTTGTGACCCCCTGGACCAGAGCACGCCAGGCACTCCTGTCTTCCACTGCCTCCAGCAGTTTGGTCAGACTCATGCTGGTAGCTTCAAGAACACTGTCCCACCATCTCGTCCTCTGTCGTCCCCTTCTCCTTGTGCCCTCCATCTTTCCCAACATCAGGGTCTTTTCCAGGGAGTCTTCTCTTCTCATGAGGTGGCCAAAGTCTTGGAGTCTCAGCTTCAGGATCTGTCCTTCCAGTGAGCACTCAGGGCTGATTTCCTTCAGAATGGATGCGTTTGATCTTCTTGCAGTCCATGGGACTCTCAAGAGTCTCCTCCAGCACCAGAATTCAAAAGCATCAATTCTTCGGCGATCAGCCTTCTTTATGGTCCAGCTCTCACTTCCATACATCAGTACTGGGAAAACCATAGCTTTAACTATACGGACCTTTGTCGGCAAGGTGATGTCTCTGCTTTTTAAGATGCTGTCTAGGTTTGTCATTGCTTTTCTCCCAAGAAGCAGGTGTCTTTTAATTTCGTGGCTGCTGTCACCATCTGCAGTGATCATGGAGCCCAAGAAAGTAAAATCTCTCACTGCCTCCATTTCTTCCCCTTCGATTTGCCAGGAGGTGATGGGACCAGTGGCCATGATCTTTGTTTTTTTGATGTTGAGCTTCAAACCATATTTTGCAATTCCTCAGGAAAAATAACCACTGGGACCTGAAAACCACTGGGGCCTCATCAAAGGGCATAGTGATTTACAGAGTCCAAGAGGGCAGGTCTCTGCCCCAGAGGAGCCTACAATCTGAAATTTAGAACAGGGAAAACAGAGGAAAGAGA